TGAAGTCTTTTAGGGAAACGGGCGAGCTGGAGCCTGGCATCTTCAGGAAAGAAGGGCCTCCTTCCCCAAGCTGTGGAGCGCACACTCTGCATGGCATCCACAGGACACCCACCCAGGTCTTGAGTGTGAGACGGGCAGACACACTGCCAACTTGGACAGAAGGCAGACCACATGGAAGAAGGATACTGAACTCCCAAGAGGTCATGGTGAGGGAGGCACTGAGCAGGATGCCCTGCCCCTCACGGAAGGAAGCCGACTCCCAGGGCAGAGACCGCAGCCCGAGGGGACTCCTCCCAGGCCTGGAGAGCTGGCTGAACATTGAAGATCCAAAAGGGACTCAGAAACTTGATTTTGAAATTGCTGGGACGGTGCCTCCTTCCCTCGGGGGCTCCCCTTTTCCGTGGCGGTGTCTACATGCTTCTCCTAGGCCTCTCCCCCGTCGCATTCTGGGGGAGCAGATAACCTGTGAATTTCACAGGCTTGTACACGGGGAGGAATCGTGCCCAGAACCGCTCACACGTGGAGCCTACCCTTCCTAAGTGGGTGATTCAGATGCGTTGATGCTGAAACGAGTTGAGATGGGGGTGGGGGGGGGGGGACTGGGACGCGGTGGGTGTTTCCCTGAGGACCTGCCGGATGGCTTTGGGAACCAGGGGCAGGTTGTTAGGTGTTAGGTGTGATAGCGTGACCCGCCCCCTCCCTGAGGGCTCCACTGCCTGATCCCCAAACCTGTGAACACGGTACCCTGCATGGCCAAAGGGACTTGGAGGATGGGGCCGGGTCAAGGCTCTTGAGGTGGGATAGTAGCCTGGCTTCCGCCGCCCCCGCCCCCATGGGCTCAAGGTCATCACGAGGTCCTCACCGGAGGGTGGCGGGAGGGTCCCGGGCAGAGACCATGTGACCGCAGAGGCAGAGCGGGTGCTGTGGGCCCGTCAGGAGGCGGGGCTGTGGCAGCCCCTGGGAGCTGGACACAGCAAAGGGGAGTTGTCCCCTGGGGCCTCCGGACGCAAGGCCTCGGTCACCTCCTGATTCGAGCCCGTAAGCCCGTGTCAGACTCCGGACCCCCAGGACTGGAAGATAAAGAATGAACGGCCCTTTAAGGGACCGCACTTCGGGGAAGTTTCCAGGCCGGCAAAGAGCCCTGAGCGCAGACCCGGGCGCCAGTGCGCCCTGAGGTCAGCGCGGAGAAGCCCAGCTCTCCTAGGAGCCCGGCCCTGGCTGTGACGTCACAGCGGGTCACCCACCAGGAGGTGGTCCCGAAGCGCAGCTTTCCCTTCGGGGCACTTGACCCGGGGTGATGTCCCTAAGTCACCTCTCCGTCCACAAGGCGTGGAGAGGGGACAAAAGCCTCACTGCCTTCTCTGAGGCTCGAACTCAGGACCTTCAGATTATGAGACTGACGCGCTGCCCGCTGCGCTAAGAAGGCACCCGCCCGGCGACCCTCCCAGCGCCCCTATAGGCGGCAGCCCCGCGCCGGAGGCACGTCCGGGGAACGGGGGCCGCTCGCCGGCGCGCGCGCACCTGGGAGCCGAGCGCGCGCCCGGGCCTCTGCGTTCGCGGCGCCCCCGCAGGTCCCAGCGACCGGCCCGAGCCCCCGGCCTTCACTCTCCGGGGAAGAAGCCGCCCGGAGCGGCGCCAGCACCGGGTTGATTTCACCCCCGGCCCCGCCGCACCCGCCCCTGCCCCGGGCGGCCGCGACCCCGGTCCCCGGCGTCCCCGGAAGACCACCTGGCCCCGAGGACCGGGTCCTGACTCCGAGGCCGTGGGACCGCAGTGCAGACCTCCCACGCGCCGTCGGGCAGCCCGGGAAGAGCCACGCGCCCGGTTTGCCTGGGAACAGACGTTCCCTGACGGGAAATGGGACGTCTTCCGGGGTCATTTAAACCGCTGCGCACCTGGCACAAGACAGACGCTCAGCGAACGCTGGTGAGTGACACGAATAGTGACCGTGCGCCCCCTGGGACGTGCTCTGTCAAGCCACCTACCTGAAGTGACACAAGTCTCCCCATCACTTCTGCGTCGTGCCCACGGTCCCGGTCTGCTCGGGAGGGGGGCGCTGCCCCGGCCGCACCCCTGCACGCGGCGGGGCTGGGGCTCTAAGCGGTGCCCCCAACCTCGGTGCGCACCCCGCGGGGCGAAAATCCCGCCTGCTGGGTGCGCCGTGGCCCGGTGCCCAGGGCTCATGGTGGGGGCCGGGGGCAGGAAACCCAACCTGGGGAGAACCCCCCCCCCCGCCCCCGCCCTACATTTCACATCTTCCACCAGATCCGCGGGGGAGACGGCGCGCGGTAGCGTGGCCGAGCGGTCTAAGGCGCTGGATTAAGGCTCCAGTCTCTTCGGGGGCGTGGGTTCGAATCCCACCGCTGCCAGCCTTTCTATTGTGAGCCGAGTGTGAGGATTTGTTTAGAGACCTTAGAAAAAGGAGTCCGGCTGCCAATTATTTATGTCTAAGGTCATAAGGTTCACGCAGAAGTGAAACCACGTGGCTCGCCCGGTGGGCACCTTCACCGGCCACACGTAGCTCCCTAAACTGTGTCGCAGTAACTCATACCCGCGTGCGGTGCTCGGGACCTCGTAGAACCCCGAGGGCTCGGTCAGATCCTAGGTGGGGTGGCACCTTTGTTGGGTCTGGTCTTAGTCTTCCCCAAATGTTAGTAAGGCCCCTTTAGGGCCCTGTAGCGCTTGGGAAGGTGCCGGTTCCTCCCCGCCGGACCTGCAGTGTGACCGTGGCAACTCCAGGTGTGTCCTGCCAGCCCCCGATGCTGTCACAGGCCCCTTACACGTATTAAGTCATCCAATACTCGCCGTAATGCACGGGGACATTTACATTATTACTCCTGCTTACAGAGGAGGCTAAACTTATGACCAGGTAATCCCCTGGCTGTAAGAGGAGGAATCAGGACGTTAATGCCTGTAGAGGACTGAAAAATACCATCGCCCCCCATTCCTGGAAGCTGTAAATATTACCTTATATGGCAAAAAAAAAAAAAAAAAAAATTGAGATGGGGAACTTATCCTGGATTTTCAGGCGGACCTTAAATGCCTCACAAGTGTCCTCAAGCCCTTTGTCCAAGAGGGTGGGGAATGGGAGAAGGATGTTGATACCGGCCAGAGACAAGCCTCTGTGACCTTGTCAGTGCCTTGATTTCCCCCCAGTAACACTGAAGTTGGGACTTGTGGCCTCCAGAACTGTGAGTGGTGGTAATGTGTCACAGGAGCCGCAGATCTCATTCGATGTGTGTAACTGCAATAAGCAGCACTGCCCCAAACATTTGTTTCTGTTTGTTTCCCAGCCGGATACGTACAAAGTGCTGTTCCAAGTAGTTCTGTGGCTGCATTTTTCATTTCTTTTAGGGATAATATTAATAATCTTTCCATGTTTTCTCAGCCATTGTTTTTCTTTTTTCATGAATTCAGTGTTTATACCCTTTGCACGTTTTCCCTGTGAATTGGGATGTTTCTTGCTGAGGTATAGAAGTTTACTTATATTAGGAAAATTAACTTCACAATACAATGTACACATGTTTTCCCACAGTTTGTTCACTTGATTTTTTTCACTTTGCTTATGCACTTTTTTCTTTTATTTTTTTAAATAGTTTGTCGTCAAGTTGGTTTCCATATAACACCCAGGGCTCATCCCCACAAGTGCCCTCCCCCATGCCCATTGCCTCCCTTCCCCTCCACCATCAGCCCTCAGTTTGTTCTCAGCATTCAAGAGACTCTCATGGTTTGCCTCCCTCCCTCTCCCCCACCATTTCCCCTTCTTCTCCCCCATGGTCCTCCGTTAAGTTCCCCCTAATCCTCCTATACGTGCAAACATATGGTGTCTGTCCTTCTCTGCCTGACTTATTTCGCTGAGCATAACACCCTCAAGGTCCATCCATGTTGCTACACATGGCCAGATTTCATTGTTTCTCATTGCCATGTAGTATTCCGTGGTATAGATAAACCACATCTTCTTGATCCATTCGTCCGTTGATGGACACTTAGGCTCTTTCCATGTTTTGGCTATTGTTGAGAGTGCTGCTATGAATATTGGGGTCCATGTGCCTCTATGCATCAGCACTCCTGTATCCCTTGAGTCAATTCCTAGCAGCTTATGCACTTTTTTTTTTTTGAGGGGATGAGGGAATATCTAAGCAGACTATTATTTTAATATACTGAGTTGTCATATTCATTGTTTCTGAAATTTTTTGGCAAAAATTACCTTTCTACACCAAACTTATGAAAATAGCTCTCTTAGCAATGCCAGTAATTATATTTCGGGTTTACGCCCTAATTTTAAAATTTATACCTACTTGAAATTTATTATTACAGGTGATATATTGATCCAAGCTTTGTTTTCCTAGATAGCTACTCAACACCATATGCTGAGTAATCTATCTTTCTCTGTTTACTTAGTTACCACCGTTATCATATTCTAATGTATATATTTACCGCCCCCTCATTTGAGCTTCTTACTTTTCTATATCAATTACTGTCACTATTCGTGTCACTCACCAGCGTTCGCTGAGCGTCTGTCTTGTGCCAGGTGCGCAGCGGTTTAAATGACCCCGGAAGACGTCCCATTTCCCGTCAGGGAACGTCTGTTCCCAGGCAAACCGGGCGCGTGGCTCTTCCCGGGCTGCCCGACGGCGCGTGGGAGGTCTGCACTGCGGTCCCACGGCCTCGGAGTCAGGACCCGGTCCTCGGGGCCAGGTGGTCTTCCGGGGACGCCGGGGACCGGGGTCGCGGCCGCCCGGGGCAGGGGCGGGTGCGGCGGGGCCGGGGGTGAAATCAACCCGGTGCTGGCGCCGCTCCGGGCGGCTTCTTCCCCGGAGAGTGAAGGCCGGGGGCTCGGGCCGGTCGCTGGGACCTGCGGGGGCGCCGCGAACGCAGAGGCCCGGGCGCGCGCTCGGCTCCCAGGTGCGCGCGCGCCGGCGAGCGGCCCCCGTTCCCCGGACGTGCCTCCGGCGCGGGGCTGCCGCCTATAGGGGCGCTGGGAGGGTCGCCGGGCGGGTGCCTTCTTAGCGCAGCGGGCAGCGCGTCAGTCTCATAATCTGAAGGTCCTGAGTTCGAGCCTCAGAGAAGGCAGTGAGGCTTTTGTCCCCTCTCCACGCCTTGTGGACGGAGAGGTGACTTGGGGACATCACCCCGGGTCAAGTGCCCCGAAGGGAAAGCTGCGCTTCGGGACCACCTCCTGGTGGGTGACCCGCTGTGACGTCACAGCCAGGGCCGGGCTCCTAGGAGAGCTGGGCTTCTCCGCGCTGACCTCAGGGCGCACTGGCGCCCGGGTCTGCGCTCAGGGCTCTTTGCCGGCCTGGAAACTTCCCCGAAGTGCGGTCCCTTAAAGGGCCGTTCATTCTTTATCTTCCAGTCCTGGGGGTCCGGAGTCTGACACGGGCTTACGGGCTCGAATCAGGAGGTGACCGAGGCCTTGCGTCCGGAGGCCCCAGGGGACAACTCCCCTTTGCTGTGTCCAGCTCCCAGGGGCTGCCACAGCCCCGCCTCCTGACGGGCCCACAGCACCCGCTCTGCCTCTGCGGTCACATGGTCTCTGCCCGGGACCCTCCCGCCACCCTCCGGTGAGGACCTCGTGATGACCTTGAGCCCATGGGGGCGGGGGCGGCGGAAGCCAGGCTACTATCCCACCTCAAGAGCCTTGACCCGGCCCCATCCTCCAAGTCCCTTTGGCCATGCAGGGTACCGTGTTCACAGGTTTGGGGATCAGGCAGTGGAGCCCTCAGGGAGGGGGCGGGTCACGCTATCACACCTAACACCTAACAACCTGCCCCTGGTTCCCAAAGCCATCCGGCAGGTCCTCAGGGAAACACCCACCGCGTCCCAGTCCCCCCCCCCCCACCCCCATCTCAACTCGTTTCAGCATCAACGCATCTGAATCACCCACTTAGGAAGGGTAGGCTCCACGTGTGAGCGGTTCTGGGCACGATTCCTCCCCGTGTACAAGCCTGTGAAATTCACAGGTTATCTGCTCCCCCAGAATGCGACGGGGGAGAGGCCTAGGAGAAGCATGTAGACACCGCCACGGAAAAGGGGAGCCCCCGAGGGAAGGAGGCACCGTCCCAGCAATTTCAAAATCAAGTTTCTGAGTCCCTTTTGGATCTATTTCTGCTCTCTCTCTGTGTCTCTGTCTCTGTCTCTCTCTCTCTGTCTCTCTCTCTGTCTCTGTCTCTGTGTGTCTCCTCTCTCTGTGTCTCTGTCTCTCTGTCCTTCTCTGTGTCTCTGTCTCTGTCTCTCTCTCTGTGTCTCTGTCTCTGTCTCTCTCTCTGTCTCTGTCTCTCTGTCTCTCTCTGTCTCTGTGTGTCTCTCTCTGTCTCTGTCTCTCTGTCTCTCTTTCTCTGTCTGTGTCTCTGTGTGTCTCTCCTCTCTCTGTGTCTCTGTCTCTGTCTCTCTCTCTCTCTGTCTCTGTGTATCTCTCTCTGTGTGTGTCTCTCTGTGTCTCTGTCTCTGTCTCTCTGTCTCTCTCTCTGTCTCTGTGTGTCTCTCTGTCTTTGTGTGTGTCTCTCTCTCTGTGTCTCTGTCTCTCTCTGTGTCTCTGTCTCTCTCTCTGTGTCTCTGTCTCTCTCTCTCCCCCCTAAGGCTTTCTAGTAAATCGGACGCCAGGTAATGACAGGCCTGGAACTTTTCCTTCTTCTGATTTGCGTCGGCTGTTCTGAAGCCGTGTGTCTACACGTCGGCTTTAGAGTCCGTCGGTCCGCAGCAGGAACAACCCGCCGGAGCGCGGGCTGGGATTGCCCTGGATCTGTAGATCAGGCCGCGTTGCGTGCCGGTTAGGGGTTCGGGACCACCGCAGGGAGGTGTCTTCCGAGTCTGCGGGTGGGAGTCGCCGGGATCCCGCCCTCCCTGCCTCCTCCCCGGGGGAGCTGGACTCGGGGCTGCTCTCGAAGTTCGGCGGGAAGGGGGGGGGGAGAGGAAACAAGACCCGAAGGCGAGGGCTGGGGTCCGCGGGCATCCGCTGCGGGCTTCCCGCGGGGCAGAGCCCGCAGCGCGGTCTGGGCGCGGCCGCGTCTCCTCCGCGCGCGCCCCGGCCTCGGGCCTCCTGCCCTCCGCCCCTCATCTCCGGGTGTCAGGACCCCCGCCCGCCGATGCCCCAGTCCCAGACCCCATCCCGGTCAGTCGCGGGGCCTTTCGCGGGCGCAGCGGGACCAGGTGCCAGCCTGTGCGCCCGGCTCTCGGCGCCCTGGGTGTGAAGTCGGGGAGGGGGTGCCGGCCATCACTGGGGTGCGACCTCGGGGTGCGACCTCAGGGTGCGAGTCACTGCGGTGAGTGCGACCTCGCGGGTGGGGGGCTGGTCATCGTGGGAGGTGCGACTTCCAGGAGGGGGTGTGGGTCATCACAGGATGAGACCTAGGGGATTGGGTCACCGCGGGGTGGGATCTTGGGGGGGTAGCAGGTCACAGATGGGGTGCGACCCGGGGGGCAGGAGGCCGTTCACTGCGAGGGATGCGACCTGGGGGCGGAGCGGGTCCCGGCTGGGTGAGACCTGGGGGGGGGGGGCGGATCACCACAGGGGCTGCGACCTCGGGGCCGGGGGTCAGGTCACCTCGGGGTGCGACCTCGGGGGATGGAGTTAGAGGGGGAAAGGCGTCACCGTCTTCGCGGGCCAGGCTGCGCAGGCGTGGGCAGGGCTGGGTTCGCAGAAACCGTGAAGCCCCTCACCTTAGGAGGGTCGACCCGGACCCAGAAACAGCTTGGGGCGCCCGGGGCCCTCTCCGCCCAGCCTTCGCCGCGGGCGCTGCCTCTGCGCGGGTCTCGGCACCGGGCGTCGTGGATTCGGGGACCGCGAGGTGCTCGCTCGCTGAGGTCCGCACCCTGGCATCCCGCTCCCGCCTCTGACCCTCCCTGCAAGTCACCGCTTGCGCAGTGCACGTGCGGGGTGCCCGGTCCCGCGCTCCGAGAGTCCTGCGCGAAGCTCCTTTTGCAGAGACCCCAACGTCGCACGTTCGCAGGTGGAGTCCGCGTTGCAGAGGAGGCACAGCCCCACTAAGGTGAGCTTCGGGAAGACGTCATCCCACGGGGGAGGGAGGAGTGGGGTGGGGTCCTCGGCCTAAGTGCGGTGCTGCGGGTTATCCTGGGAGCGAGCGAAGCGCCGAGGGTGCTGACCACCGGGCGCCGCACCCGCACCTGCGGGAACCGTGCGTCTCGGCGCAAGGACAGACCTCGCTCCGCCCCCGCCGCGCGCGCTGGCTCCGTGGCTTAGTTGGTTAAAGCGCCTGTCTTGTAAACAGGAGATCCTGGGTTCGAGTCCCAGCGGGGCCTCGGCTTTTCCTCTTATGGATCCGTCAACCCCTTCCGCTCCTTATTCTCCACTGTATTCAGTGTTACCATAAACTCTGACACAACCACTCAAAGCACTTATGACTGCAGAATTCGCACTCGCAAGGGAAAGTGATGTTTCTTTATGATCAAAGTGGTAACAACTGTAAGGGAGGAAATCAATAAAAATGGACTTCCGGTGACTCTCAGAGTTGAAAAACAGAAATCGATAACTTTCTCCTTTGCTGACGCTCCTCCCTGTCCCCACTTTTTGGGGGGAGGGAAGAGGAGGAGGAAGAGACAACAAAAATGTTCCCAACTCTTAAAGCCTTTTCCCAGACTCCCATAGAATTTATCAGTGATTCTAGGAAACCCAGCATGATGTTATGTTTTACATATGATTTTCCAAATACTACTAAATTATAAAATAGTAATTTATATTTTCTTACATGTCTTCAGTCTTCAAGGCAGGCTTTTGGTCCCCAAGGAACTAAGTAAATTGGCCCCACTGGAAACTGAATTTCAATTCTGCAATTTAAAACACAGAATGATCCCACAAGGCAGTGATTCCCAAGCTGGGTGTGCATGAAATCACCCAGGGAACTTGTTAAAATACAGTTTCTTGGGACTCATCATCCCCAGAGGTTTTCACTCCGGTTTGGTGAAGGACCCAGAGATGTGTAGTTTTAGCAAGTCCTCCTAGTGATTGTGAAGAACGTGAATTACCTTTGCAAAACTCCAGCTTAAAGTATTACAGATGTAGGGGGGAGGGGGGGATGGGCATGGAGGAGGGCACTTGTGGGGATGAGCACCGGGTGTTATATGGAAACCAATTTGACAATAAACTATTTAAAAAAAAAAAAGAAATAAATAAAACATTAAAAAAATAATAAAGTATTACAGATGTAGCTGAACTGAGAGTGAGGTCAGCACATGCCCTTGCTGGACCTCCCTTTCCAAAGGAGAATCACGAGAACAAAGCCCACAAAGCACGAAAGGAGTTGGTTATTCAGGTTTATTTTAGTCCGGCCGGACGGCCCCTCCCCAGCCCCCGAAATGTCCTCAGAAGAGCGCCCCGCCGCGCCATAGCTCAGGGCTTATATAGGGAGGGGGGAAGGCGGTGTACAGAAGCGAGAATTTGGCGGTTAGAGGTGGGGGTTGCTTAACAGTTGCTTGAAGCACACGTTTGACCGCTGTAATCACAATGTTCACGAAAGATGGACCCCTCAGGTGCTTGCTGCAGCCGGGAGGGGCCAGGTTGCTCAGCCCCTGACCTTTTACCCGAATAGAGTTTGAGATCAAACAAAGGTTGGTATGTCCTCATTTGCAAGCCCCTCGCCTTTTGGCCCAAGGGAGTTTTTACACCCGTAGCATTTTCGCGCTTGTTCACAAGCATCCACTGACCTTCCAGTCATCGGTCTACAATATTCCAGGTGCTTCCAGACGCACTCTCTCTAATCAGTCCAACAATCCTGTCAAATACGTGTAATAAACAGCTCTTTGCTGATGAGAAGACAGCCTCAATAATGTTCATAGACACATAGTAAGGCAAAGTTCAATGTCTAACCCAAGCCTGTCTGTCTGATACCAGAACCCAGAATATATGTCTTCTATTTTATTAGAGTCAAGAATAAAGTCTTTGGCTACAGAGCTAAACAAAGTTAAGTGACCTAGACTGATCTCAAACCTAGTCCAATGGGTTAGGGTGCATGAGGTAACTCTGGGTTTTTTGTTGTTGTTTGTTTTTTGTTTTTTTGAGAAAATTTTTGCCCAGTGAACAACTGTTTAACTCATGTTTGAATCATGGAAATGGAAAATGTAAAACAAAACCTCAGGAACTGATGTAAGGAGTTCTCAGTGAAGAATGAACAGGCCCTGTGGACAAACTGAATTTATCTCCTAGGCTCTATCTGCTTTTGCCTTGGACAAGCTCTCCTTATCCCCTGATTCTTGCGTTTTAAACATAGTGTATTAGTTAGTCAGCTGGGGCTGCTGTAACAGAATTTTGTGGACTGGGGGGTTTAAACAACAGAAGTTTATCTTCTCATAGTTCTGGAGGCTAAAAGTCTAAGATCAGACTTCAGACTCTGTCTTCCTCTCTCTCTGCTCCTCCCCTGCTTGTGCTCTCTCTCTCTCAACAGTAAATAAACATTAAAAAAGTAAAATGAGGACAATAATAGTGCCCAGCTCAAGGAGTTGTTAGGAGCGCTGTATGAGAACATTCATGTAAAGTGTCTAGGATATATTAGGCTACTATAATCATCGTCATTATTAATGCAATATATGCTTTCTGGAAATTGTTGGGGTAAATCCCACTCTCCCTTGCTGTTACGATGGGACTAATGAGTGGAGGCAGTGATGCCATCTATAATCATAACCCAAATTGTAAATAAAAGATGGATGCTGTTTCTCCAGGGAGATTCACTTGCCAGGGACAGCCCCACCCCCACCACCCAGGGGCCTCTGGGTGAGACCTGGCTTTATCTGCCTTTGAATCAGACTTTTGGATGCAGGCCTCAGGAAACACATTCACTCTACCTGTGGCATCAAGACCCTTAGTGGCTCTCACTAAGTGCCTGCTTCGCTCTCCCAGGACATTTGGGATCCAACCCTTTGCAACCTTTCTCCTGACTAAGCTTCGATAGCTAGAGACACCTGCTTAATACAAGTTCAAATGAGAAGAGGTATGTTTTGGTGATGTCTCTTTCTAGTCACACCAGCCAAGAGGGAAGTGTGTGTTGTTCAGTTTTATTTTATTTTGAGACAGCAAGTGAAGGTTCCAGACTTTGAAAAGATCAATCAGGGTGAGATGACCCCATGAGCTAAATGAATTCTCATTCTGCCAGACCAGTGGCTACCATTTGTCCACTTGAGTCTCAGAAGTATGTGCAAAAGATCCTGTTGTCTAGGAGTCAGGGAGGAAAGAGAGCAGGTATCACTAAAAATCAATTCTCTAAAGGCCAATAGTCTGAAGATAAATGTGAAGACCAAACACTGTGAACAATGACCAATAAGCCAAAGTATTGAGGATATTTTTTGGCCAGGGGGTTGGGGTGGGGTGTGTACGCTGTGGGATCTTGTTTTACTCTTTTCCTCTGCCATTTCATATGCAGATGCAGGAACTTCCTGGCAAATATAGTTTATTATGTTCTCTGTTTTGTTTTTAATTCATTTTTGAGAGAGAGAGAGAGAAGAGGGGAGAGAGAGAGAGAGAGAGAGAGAATGAGTGGGGGAGGGGCAGAGAGAGAGGGAGACAAAGAATCCAAAGCAGACTGCTTGCTCTGAGCTGTCAGCACAGAGCCCTACACGGGGCTTGAAGGGGCAAACTGAGAGATCATGACCTGAGCCGAAATTGGACACTTAACCGACTGAGCCACCCAGATGCCTCTTTTTCTGTTTTTGGAGACATGTTCCCTCACTACTGCCTCTGCCTCCATATCTATCCTTGGTGGTTAAACAGCAGCAACAAACCATCCTAACCGTGGATTCAGGTGGTCGTATGACATTTTGTGACTGGGAAGTTGGTCAAGTTGACATACGGGTGTCTTGGAGAAGCAGTAATCCATCCTCTGGACCCTCAGGGCCAACTGTTACAGGCCAAGCTTTAAATTTACCTTTTGTTTTGTTTTGTTTTGTCTTGTTTTTAATTTTTTAACGTTTATTTATTTTGAGAGAGAGATAGAAACAGCATGAGCAGGGGAGAGGTAGAGAGAGAGGGAGACACAGAATCTGAAGCAGGCTCCCGGCTCTGAGCTGTCAGCACAGCGTCTGATGTCGGGCTCGAAGCCATAAATGAAATCATGACCTGAGCCGAAGTCGGACGCTCAACTGACTGAGCCACCCAGGCGCCCCCCAATTTACCTTTTTTGGGGGGAATCTGGGTGGCTCAGTTGGTTGAGCATCTGACAAATCTCATGGTTTGTGGGTCTGAGCCCCGCATCGGGCTCTGTGCTGACAGCTCAGAGCCTGGAGCCTGCTTCAGATTCTGTATCTTCCTCTCTCTCTGGCCCTCTCCTGTTCATGCTCTCTCTCTCAAAAATAAATAAACGTAAAAAAAGAACAAAAATAAATTTACCTTTTTTTTTAAGGAGGCCTTTTTTGGTTAAATCACGTATTCCTATCAATCCTCACATACGTGCCCCTTTCTGTTCAGTAAATTTCCATTCGCTCAGCACGTGAAACTAAAACTTCAAATTTCTCTCAACTGCTTCCTGTGTCTTGCACACAGACTTGGCTCTTGACGCTTTCCTAGCTGACATTCTCAGCATCTCTCCCTGGACTCCAGCGGGAGTTCCAACCGAAGCCCCAACGTCCAGCCTCCTCCTCTTTAGTCCCTCATTCCGCGGCCCTCGTAACTGTTCGGAGTGCTGCTCCCATCACTTCACAGCCCCTTCTGAAAAAAGTCTTCATTTGCTCAGACTCCTGAACCTAGCATTCAAGATTTTCCATACCCTGGACCCGGGTTATTCTTACAACACGGTTTTCCACTGCGCCACTTTATGCATCCTACACTGCGGTCATCAGTGCGTGCTTCCATTTTTAAAAAAGAATGCCCTTTGCCATCACTTAGAGATATCAAGATCCCCTTGCACCCCTTTTAATTTAATTTTCATTTATGTTCAAAGTTAAGAAGTAAAATAATACTTTACTTCACTCCTCACTATTTCTGTTTTCCTGAGGTAATACATTTTTATTAATTTTGGTGTTTTCTTCTATTCACCCATATTTCCTAATAACTAGCTTTTATTCTAATTGGATTTTTTTCACTTCAAACATGGTTTGTTTATTATTTACTATAAAAACGGGAAACTTTAACTCTTACATAACAAAGAGAGAGTGAAAAGAAGAGCAAAGGAGAGAAAGAAGACAGAGAGAGTTCTACGCCTCACCCTCCAAGTACTCACACATCACACTGTTTAGGTACATCAGCATAGAGGGCTTATGCTTTCATGCCTCTGTAAACATTAGTAATGATGGGATCACGTGATGAACCACATCGGCTTAAAACTCTCCTCTCAGTTCTGTCGCAGATGGTACAAAATTTCTTTTTTAATTTTTTTTCATTTTTGGAGACATGCTGTTCAACTCTTTCCATGTTCTAACACATTCCCAAGACTTCCCATTACTGTTGTTATGGGATTGTCCCTCATCCTGTGTGGGCTCCCTGTCTCCTGGGGTCTTCTACTTGTTTGGTTTTTTACCCTGTTTTGAAGGTGCATAGCCTCCAGTAACTCCCTGAGAAATGGTGCCTGGGAAATGACATTTGGGGTTTTGTACATGCCTTTGAAAGTCTTCTGATTTCACACTTGATTGCTTGGTTGTGAATAGAATTCTAGGCTAGAAATAATTTCCTTCAGAATTTTAAAATCATTGCCCTTCCCTTCTCACTTCCGTGGTTGCTATCAGAAAGTTCACTACCATTTTTGATTTATTGTACTTCATAGTCATCTTTTCCCCTCTGGAAGCCCTGGGAGTCTGTCATCCTGATTTATCTGGATGCCACTATGTCCTCATTCCAATTCTTGGAATCCCACTCTTTCCTCATTAGTGCCCCACCTTACAAGAGACCTGCAGAAAATTTCAACCCAGTTTCTGGTACCATTTTCCGTATTAGTCGAGGTCCCTGGTTGTAAACAAAGAAAATAATTCTGATAACTTAAGCAGAAAGAAGGTATTGAAAGAGTGGTAGTTCACAGCATCCGTTGTCTCCTCATTCTTTTGCATCAGTTTACTAAGATTCAAATCCTGTGTAGCAGTGTCTGATTGACCAAATGTAGATTACATGCACCCTTAACTTCAAGGTTGCTGGGATAAGAATACACTGCCCACCTCCCAGTGGCTGCTTTAATCATACAGAAGAGCCATAACCACTAATGTCCACTAATGCTTTGATTTAGGAAATATATAGATGGAGATTTGAAATCACTTTCTCTACTGAAAGGGCTTTTCAAATGTTACATTATAATGTTAATTATAATTATGATATTCATTAATCTGATTCATTAGTTACAATTTCTTTTGAGGATGTCCCCCATTTGTCTTGCATAAAAGTGTATTTTTTCTCATGTCTTCAAAACTTCTGCTAACTTGGGGTTTTAAAATCACCCTCATCTTCCTTGATTTTAGCACGTGTCTCCCATCAAAATTCAATGAAGCACATGAATGAAAGCTTTCCAGAGGGTTTCGTTCTTACGGGTTTCACCAAACACCCTTGGTTGGATCTGCCTCTCTTCTTTGCCCTCCTGACCTCCTACATGTTCACACTGTTGGGAAACATTGCTATTATTCTGGTTTCTCAACTAGATTCCCAACTCCGAAGTCCTATGTACTTCTTCCTCACAAACCTCTCCTTTTTGGACCTCTGTTTTACCACCACAACTGTACCCCAAATGCTGTTCAACTTGGGAGGCCCCAACAAGAACATCACTTACATAGGCTGTATGACGCAGGCCTATATATTTCACTGGCTGGGCTGTACTGAATGTGTCCTGCTTGGCATCATGGCCTTAGACCGCTACGTGGCTGTGTGTAAGCCCCTGAGGTACTCTGTAATCATGGACCACAAGCACTGCCAGAAGCTCTCCAGCACAGCCTGGCTCATTGGTCTGGCAAATTCACTGCTGCAGTCCACACTCACAGTCCAGCTGCCCCTGTGTGGGAACCAGGAGCTAGATCACTTCTTTTGTGAGCTTCCTGGGCTTATTAAGATGGCTTGCGTGGACACCACAATCAATGAGGTGACTTTAGCAGTGGTGGCCACCTTTCTGATAATGGGACCCCTCTCCATCATTCTTGTCTCTTACGCTTGTATTGCCCAAGCTGTATTTCGAATCCCTTCTGCTGATAGGAGACTTAAGGCCTTCAACACCTGTTCATCACACTTATTGGTGGTGTCTTTATTTTATGGCCCCGGCATCTACATCTACATGCAGCCTTCGGGGGACAGCCCTCAAGACCTTACCAAAGCTCTGACACTGTTTTACTGTGTTATCACTCCTATGGCCAACCCATTCATCTACACCTTGAGGAACAAGGATGTTAAAGGAGCTTTGAGGAGACTTCTGAGGAGTGCCATTTTGTCCAAAAGAATCTGAGAAAATGATGCTTCACTCTGAACTGAAAAGCTCAACAATAACCTGAAATATATTCTCCATTAAATGTATATTTCACCAGAATTGTGCTCCAAAGCCAAGTCAAGAAAACCTTCATGTGCTATGTTTACCTACACGACTTCTGACACCAGTTATGTGGTTTTTCCCCAACACCACCCAATTCTCTGACACCAACTGGGTGGCCTACAATTAATCAGTTCTGACACTAAGTACCCAGAGTTAGCATAGACTCCACAAATTAAGGGCTCAGTCCTGTAAAAACAGCCTCCACCTCAGATGTCAATCAGAAGTCCAGGCCACCTATACTTATGACTCGCAAGCTAAGTCAAGGGTTTCTACAACCTCCTCCTCAGGTTTGATAATTGGCCTGAAGAGTATATAAAACTCAAGGAAACACTTTGCTTACTTTTACTGGTTTGTTACTTAAAAAAATACAACCTAGGAAGAGCTGAATGCAAGAGGTGCATGTGGTGAAGCTTGGCAGGGAGGGGTGGTGGGTGGGGCGTTCATTCATTCTCAGGGCCTGAGACCTCCCAGCACCTCAGTGTGTTTATCAACCTTGAAGCTCTCCAAATCCCATTTAGGGGGTTTCATGAAGGCTCCATTACGTAAGCATGATTGATTAAATTATTGGCCGTTGGTATTGACTCAATCTCCAGCCTCTTCCCCTCCCAGGAATCAAGGGAAGGGCCTAAAGGTCTAATTCTCTAATCCAGGTTGTTTCCTCCGGCAATTAGCCCCTTCATCCTGAGGCCATCTAGGGGCTCACCAAAAATCACATTATTAAGATAAATTCAAGTATGATTGGAAGGGCTTGTTATGAATAATAAAAGGTGATCCTATCACCCCTATTTCCCAAGAAATTCCAAGTTCTGTGTCAGGAACTGGGGGCAAAGACCAAATATATATTTCTTATTCTCACACTTTTCTCATGAAAATAAGCACCTTAAGAAAAAGACCTTTACAACAGGTGTTGTTAATTACAACAAATTAAATGTGAATCAAAATTTGTATGGTAACTACTTACTTTGGGTCTATTCTTCATAGCATAAATTAAAACAAATTATATTTGAATCAAAAGTTACATTTTGGGGGCATGTGGGTGGCTCAGTCAGTCAAGCGTCAGACTTCATCTCAGGTCATGATCTCACAGTTTGTGAGTTCAAGCCCCACATAGGATTCTGTGCTGACAGCTCTGATCTTGGAGCCTAGAGCCTGCTTCAGATTTGCCTTCTCCCCTCTCTCTGCTCCTCCCCTATTCACACTCTATCTCCTTCTCAAAAATAAATAAACATTAAAAAAAATTTTTCAGTTAACATTTTAAAAAGCTTTTCATTAAAAATAAAATATTTTTCTGTC